TCTTCATTAAATAAATGTAGGGCAATCCACACTGTGCTTTGTTGTCATACTATTACACAATCCAGTTAACAATATAGTAATTTGTGAATTTGGCAAAAAGTTAAGTTATTTTAATTCTCTTTAGTTCATTCTTTGAGACAGTGAGACATTCAGCGCCTTGTGAATCCTAGTGGTTTTCTTAGAGAACACAGTGTTTTCTTCCAATATCACTTGGTAATGAATGGTAGAAGAGTCTTATGGCTCAAACAGAACAGGAGCTGGGGAGTCATCTGACACAAAGAAACTTCATAGCTTGTGAAGTGACTGGTGAGGAATAGCAAGAGCTATCCAACAACCAATGAAAGGACCAGTGTTTGCTCGGGGAACGGTCAGATCCTGCTGTAAGGGCAAACCTGAAGAGGACGAAAAGGACGCAAGGACAGTGAGTTGTTTAATAGTTTAACGGAATCTAATTGGTTCCACAGCTTTGTAAGAGCTATTCTGACTCAAAATGTATTTCATCCACAGAGCACCCTTATACATATCAAGTAGCCAATTTCTGCAGAACTTGAACTGAGCATTCCTCACTCTCACAGTACATGGGACAACACCATACTACATGCTTTGACATGACTGCATCATGGCCATATTTACAGAGGTCATGCATGACACTATAACGTGCATGCCTCTTGGTTGAATTTGTCATGGGCTTCACATGATTACAATGCAAGACTTACTCAAATCTGTGTGACAGTCTTAAACATGTCTTCAGTTGTTTACTTATCTGTATAATAAATTGGTGTGTTTTACTGCTATCTGTATATATATATATACACACACATGTATTTGACTTTTAATACTTAAAAAATAAAAAGATATATCTTAATCTGCCAGTACTGCATGTAACATGGAATGGGTTTCACCATCGCTTAACATGCTGAAATATTACATTGTTACTTGTAATTGATGCTAACCTTGCTATTTCACTGTTATACCCTGGCACTTCTTTATTTCTATATTTCGTATCTTGCTATCATCTTAATAAAAATATGATTGACAAAGAAAAAGACTTACCCAGATCTAAATCTAGTGCACAATTTAGGTGCTTAAAGGGACACTATAGTCACCGAGACCACTTCAGCTCAATGAAGTGGTCTGGGTGCCAGGTCCCTCAGGTTTTTACCCTTCAGATGTAAACATAACAGTTTCAGAGAAACTGCTATGTTTACATTGAAAGGTTAATCCAGCCTCTAGTGGCTGTCTTCCTGAGGGGGGAGTGGGGCCTGAGGGTGGGGGGTCCTAAGGATGCTATACTGTCAGGAAAACAAGCACTAGCACTAGTGGTCCATCTGAAATTTGCCTTATATCAATTACCAGCCCAGAGCTGTATTTTTTTAAATTAATTATGTGGACATATATTAGTGGCACTATATTATAATTCATGGACCTGTATACAAATGTTTCATAGTACACTATTCATTGTAGAATGACAAGCTGAGAATGTTTGTTTGAAATAAATACATGGTTTCTCTAAATTGGTTGCTTGGCCTACAGCAGTGAAAGGGTTCCGCTCTGCCCCCTCTTAGCAGTTCCCTGGTTGATTCTGCCTGTCACTCTGTTGGAGAAGTTAGTTCCGGTCACCAAGTGGATGAATACTGTCCCTGGATGTTGTCCCTGGGTAGATGCCCAAACCTTTCTGTTTGTTTTGCAAGCAGCTCAAAGACACATAAAATGATCACAGAACAACGAAAGGGAGGAAGCATTAAGTATGGGATTGGAGGACATCAGATGTCTTTATTTAACCAGTGCTCTGGTTTATGATTCCCTACGTTTCTGAAGGTTCCATTTTCACTATTAATACCAATAAAGTAATTAAACAATTGTAGACCTGTCCCTGCCCTGTCTGCAGTGCGCTTGTTTGTTTGTGATAAACTCTGAAGAAATTGCTTAATAGTTCATTAGTCTGGCAAATCGATGTGTCCTTTTTTTATTCTCATAAATAAAGATAAAAGTAGAAGAAAAAAAATGCATACAAAAAAGAAGGGAAAAAAAGGATGCAGTATGTCTTATTTTTTTTTTAACTTTATTTTTTAAGCTGGAAACAATGCTTAACAATAGCAACTATTTATTGTGATTCACCAAACTAGAGCTATATATAAACTAAGGAAATTGCACCGGCTTTATGAGAAAGTGCTAAAGATTTATTTACATTGAAGATATACTGGATAAGGCAGAAAAGTTTCCTTTGCTATTGTAGCAGAAACAAAATAGCTTTGCAGCAAGATCTGAAAGAAGAGGTAAACAGCTCAGCGTGCACCTCGCAGAATACACACTGTTCCCTTTCTGACCGGTCTCATGTAGATTTCATCCCAGAGAGAGGTCTGATTCCATGGAACAGATCCATTCTGTAAACAAGGCAACTCTAGAAGCCAGATATCTAAACCAGAATCTGGAAACACAGATAGAACACGTGTACATGTAAAGAGCACTTGTACACATTATGTGAAATTACATACTTGTAAATCTCACACATACTCATGTACTGACAAATGCAAATACAGACAAATCCCACAAGTGTAAACTGAAGCATGCACACATAAACCACTTCGTGCTGGGAGCTTATCTTTTTTTAAACTGATTGATATAACTATGTTCTACTCGTGTTGTATATTAATGTACCTATTTTACCTGTTCAATACAATACTCCTAGCTTCCTACACAATGACTACAGAAATAGGGACAGCCATTTATTAAAGGAACACTATAGGGTCAGGAACACAAACATGTATTCCTGACCCTATAGTGTTAAAAACTCCATCTGGCTCCCCTAAATATAGTAAAATATTAACTTTATTCCAGTTGGCTGCTGGCTCTGCCTCTGATCTGCCTGCTTGACTGACATCATCAGAAGGGGTGATCTCAGCCAATCACAATGCTTTCCTATAGGATTGGCTGTAAATGTCAAGAAGGCAGATCAGGGGCAGAGCCAGCTCAAGCCAAACACAGCCCTGGCCAATCAGCATCTCTGAATCAATGTATCTCTATGAGGAAAGTTCAGTTTATCCATGCAGAGGGTGGAGACATTAAATGGCAGTGCCACAGGAAGCACCTCTAGCAGCCAAAAAAACTGTGTTTACTGCAAAAAGCCTGAGGGGTATTATTATACTCACCAGAACAAATACAATAAGTTGTAGTTGTTATGTGACTAGAGTGTACCTTTAAAATGATAGTGTGTGTGTGTGTGTGGGGGGGGGCATTAGTGTAGGAAGATCATTTTTGGGTGAGCAGCCTTTCATAACAAATATGTATATGTTAGGGTACATGTGTTAAATAATGCTGATTTTTGGTAGGCAAAATGATCAATGGGGAGTGGGGTTTTTGCTATGATTAGAATGGGATTTTGACTTATTTAAGCTACATGACTTCTTTTAAAATATTAATATTCAATTGTTCAGCAAATGTTTTTAGTTTTAGAAACAGTAAAAAGTATGATATTAAAAGCTACACCCTCATAGGCATTGCTGGGGAGTGGTTTTAGGAGCGGTTTTGTAGGGCTCTTTAGCTTTGGATATCTACAGTTGGATATTAGTGATTTTTATTTCATTTTAAATCGGGCAGCTGTTTTTTAATGCAACCACCTATTATAAAAAGAAAGATTAGTAGCATTGTGCTCTGCCAGACCACTTGGGAGGGATGGGTGATGTCACCAGGTGACTAACAGGAAGGGGTGCCTTAGAAAATAGTTTTAATGCATTAGTTAGGTAACATAGTGGGATTGTATTGAATACCCGCCTGTGCATCATATGCTTGTTTTTGGCTATGCTTCCATTGAGATCCTGGAGAGCCTCAGCGGCATGCTGGTCATGGGTATAGAGCAGGCAACCTTCAGCACTCCAAATGTTATAGACTATATCTCCCTGCCTTGCCAGCATTATGATTGTAAGATCAATATGTAGTCCAGAACATCTGGAATGCTAAAGGTTCCCTACCTTTGGTTATGGAGATAGGGCATAGCACCGAAAGAAGGTTTTCTTTTGGGCTTAAGCCCTAGGTCAGGGGTGCCCAAAAGGTAGATCCCCAGATGTTTTTTAAAACCACAGCTTCCATGATGCTTTGTCATTGTAAAGGCATGCAAAGCATCAAAAGAGTTGTAGCTCCACAATATCTGGGGTTCTACCTTTTGAGCACCTCTGCCCTAGGTGTTTCTAGAACCGAGCAATGATCCTGTACACCATTGGATATCCTGGGGGGATTCATATCTGCCATCCCACTTCTTCCTATGCACATGCTTGGGAAAGGGAGGACAAGCTGGTCCCTGCAATAGGGTGTGCTTGGCATCCCTAGCACACACCTAATATCTAGACCAGGCATAGGCTACTTTCGGCACTCCAGATGTTTTGTACTACAGCTCCCATGCTTTTCCAGCAGTATGGGTGTAAGAGCATTATGGGGGATGTAGTCCACACAATCTAGAGTGCCGAAGGCTGCCTACGCCTGCTCTAGACCATAAGTGCCCAAAAGGTAGATCCCTTAGATGTTTTAAAAGGACTAATTTCTATGATGCTTTGCCATTCTAAAAGCATTCTAAAGGAATGCAAAGCATCATGGGAGTTGTAGTTCTACAAAATCTGGGCATCTACCTTTCGGGCACCCCTGCTCTTGATCTTAACACAGTACACTGAATTTATTTCTGCCCCTGACCTGTAAGTGTTTATGGTTATAATATCAATTGAACAGCAGGTATTCCTAGCAAGTTGCACGTTGTTTTTATACTAAATGACAAAGCTCCAGAAAAATGAGTTTTTTTCCCATTTCTTTTTCAGTTAGTGTTAGTGATGAATCTCCCTGTGCTTCTAAGATATCAGCAACCGATCTCTGAGTGAACCAAAAAACAAACCATCTCATTAAAGTGAGGGCAGGATGGAACTGCCATTGTCTGGAAGTCTAGAGGGCTTCATTGTAAACAGCAAACTGAGGCTTTGGAGGGTATTGTTTGAGTTCAGATTACTCTTTCATCTTAAATTGGTATACATAAGACTCGAAGACAGAGAAGCCTGTTAACAAATATTGTGATAATTACCTTTCCTTAAAGCCCACTTATCTTGAGTACCACCAGTACAGATCAAGAAAGAAGCAACCATCCACACTGGCCTGACTGTGAGTTCATCAGATTACTCAAGAGGTTGGCACACTGAATGAAATGGAACCACAACTACTATGTATCTGTCTGAAGATAAAGGGATCAATTCATCAAAGCTGTTTTTATCACCTTTCCATGTTATGTCGACATGGAAATATACACCTGCTCATCATCAAAGCTCTTTAATCTCCTTTCTATTGTACGCCAAGATATGCATTTATTAATCAGTACAGGAAATAACACTCCAAAAAGGAATATGGTGCTAATTCTACTGTGGGGTATTAAAAGACTGTATCGAAATAAAAATAATAAAATAGGTGATATGAATGGAAAGTTTCACAATACTAATAAAACCACTTTTTTTTTTATATAATTAAAATATTATTTATTTTTTCTCAATATAAACATTTAAGTAACATGTAAATGCAAAAATAAAAGTAGCAAAAAAAAATTAAGTAGAAACAACAGACATAAATATTCATAATAACAGTCAAATAAACAGCAGAGCACCGTCATTAACTGGTAATACTGTAGATAAGCAAGTACTATTTTAATTCCACTCTATCATATAGGGGTTGGCAACCTTTGGTACTTAAGATGTTGTGAACTACATCTCCGATAATGTTCTTACAGCCATAATGCAAAGCATCAGGTTTTATTAATCAGATGGGGAAGTACTGGGATGCTGACAAAGAACTTGTACATTTTAAAAGAGCCTCGAAATTACAAAGACTTTGTTATCAAATGTGGCTATTTTATCGTAAATTTTGCAAGTTGGTGGCCGGTTTACAACAAATTCGGTAAAGAAACACCATAACTCTTTATTAAATTGCCAAGCGGATGATTTAAAGTAGACATTTGTGAAATAACTACACAGTGTGTCTATGGACTGTATGTTTTTTGTTTAACCTATAATTTTACCTGTGTTCGTTTTCAAATAATTTATCACATCTAAACACTGGCCAATTACAATGTACAGTATGTCTGGAGATGCTGTAAATTTAGTTTAATACAAAAAGGGGGAGACTTGTCAAAGTGTTCTGGAAAATCACATAATTTCATTGACTCTTTGAGGGAGGTTTATCAAGTCAAAAACAGGTATTGTTATGGGGCAAAATACTGAATGAAGGCCAATCACCTTGTAAACCAATCAAATAGGATTATGTCAACCAAGGAGGCAGAATGGGGTAGGGCCAGAGGCAAGGAGCCCTGCATCGGCCTCCTTTCTAACCCGAGGTAAGGAGGCCGATCACCTAAACGGTAGTGTTAGAACTATGTCATGAATACACGTTTGTGTTCCTGACACTATAGTGCCTTTAATTACACAGACTGTTTTCTAAGCACTTGTTTTGTAGTTTAATGACACATTACTCTGAGTATTATTTAGCAGACAGATAATTTGCCAATTCAGAGGTCAATTTCCAAATGTGCCTTTTAAAATTGTGTTTAGTAACCAAATCTAAGATTACTGAATGAATGGGTAAATATGCACATCTGAATGTATGGATAGAATCATATAGCCACATGAATGCCACTTTCATTATTTTATATTAATGTTACTTATTTAATCAAAGTATGTCCTACACCCTCTTGTGCAGACTTTTGGCATATGAAGGGTTAAAGTCCATTGACATAGAAACTCCAAAAATCTGTGGTTGGGCAGCCTGTTACTAAGAAAATCTAGAGAACATATTCCAAACCACAAGGTTTCATACAGACAAAAATGGTCACTATCCCTGGGAGGCTGTATGTAGAATTGAAAGTGCCAGAGCATTGTAAGATTTTCTTTTTTAAATGCTTGCCTCCATCAAGTTTTATGTGAATTGTGTTTGCTTTTCACCTTATAGAGAAGTATTTAGAATTTCTAAATACCAACCTCATATCACCCTTTGACAAATACGCAATTTCACAACAGAAAATCACAACAGGAACCGTTTATGCAAAAATAAGTACAGACATTATCAAACAAACCTTATGCCCTATATTTCCTTTCTTTACAGATTAGTTTTTTTCCCCATCTCCTTGTCAAAATGTCAGTGTTTTGTAACGTAATGAAAATAACTAATTAAAATTTTGTTTTGTTTTCTCATTTTGCTTAAAAAGTAACACATACAGTCTTAACAGCTAGACCATAACAACTGAGGGAATTTATCTCTGCTCCCCTCCACCTACAATAATTTTTCGGGTGGACCTGTCATCACCATCCCTCCGTCTCCGATTTAGTCCTCGGGCTAATTTTAGTAAGAGTCTAAGGAGAGTAAGACCTTGTGTTTAGCGGTGAATGATAAATGAATCTGACTCTAACTGTCTCAACTCTAGATTTGAAGCTGGTTTGAGCAGGGTCCTCAACAACGTATTGTTCCTCTATCATTTTGTAATTGTCTCTTTTATTGTTCAATTCCCCCCTTTATAATATTGTACTGCGCTGCGGAATAGGTTGGTGCTATATAAATGCCGATAATAATAATAACTGAAGTATAGGCCCCTGCAAATAGACCTGTTTCCTGAAACAAGACAAGTGATGAAATATGATTTAATGAGAGACATTTATCAACGAGATATACCAAGGCTGGGCTTTCAACATGTATCTTTCATGCTATGCTTTTCAAAAAAGGAAAAAATGATTGCCCTTGTTTGAAAATGCTTTAACTTCTTCGCTGTCAGACATAAAAGCTATATTGCGTTGTGGTCATGCAGACCATCTCTATCTTAGGGCTCCTCAGAAACAAGGTCAAGGTGTAATGAACAAAATGCAAATCTGTATTTGCCAAAACTCGATTAACAATGATAAACCCTGCTCAATCTAGTCTCCTGTAATTTAAAGGGGAAATGTTTAGTTTTAAATGTTACTCTAAGGGAAACTATAGTGACCAAAACAACTTTAGCTTAATGAAGTAGTTTTAGTGTATATATAATGCAGTCTCACTGCTCAATACTCCACCATTTAGGAGTTAAATCACTTTTGTTTCTGTTAATGTAGCCCTAGTTACACCTCCTCTGGCTGTGACTTGCACAGATTGCGTGAAGAAATGGTTTCTTTTTCAATCAGATCTTCAACTTACTTAAGCAGTTTCTATCTCCTGCTCTGTAGCATTGAGCAGTGAGATTGCAGGGACATAATCTAGTAGTCTGAAACTACCTATTACGGTCACCGGCTGCTCTTAAATTGCATGGGAAAGGTATTAAACTTACCTCACTTGTCAGCCACCGTCAGACCACGCCATGTTCACTGTGGCTGGCTCTGCCTCCATGGCTGAGATCATCAAAATTGTATAGTATCACTTTAAGAGAACTGTGAGCACAGTTAAATGAAATGGTTATATTGTCTGCAGTCTCCTGGCGCTGTCCCTCCATTATATGTGAAACCATCGCGAACGAATGCTTCCTCATTAGCCCAAGCAGGACATGGGTTATGGGCTTCTAAGCATATAATTATATATAATGATTTAATGCTGAATGGAAAGAAATTGCCAGTGAACACCAAACACTATAACCACTTCAATGATATGAAGCAGTTACAGTGCCTACAGTGTCTGGCGTACCTGGGAGGTAAAGTTGGTGGGTCACTCAAGTTAATAACAGGCTAAATACACGTCAGGCTGCATTTCAACCATGCAGGTCGGCCCACTAGGGGTAGGACATGCAGAGAGCACTAGGTAGGGAGCGGGGCCCTAGTCTGAGTGCATCTATTGATGCGCTCATGCTATCATAGTTAGGGAAAGTTCACGGTGTTCCCAAAAGCTAGACATCAAGCGGGACAGGACCTGAAAATTGGTTTGGGACGGTTGGGAGGCATGCAGAGTCTCTTTAAGGACCATTAAAAGTTGAACACAGTCACTAAGCATATAATTATATATAATTTCACAAACTACTAAATAAAAGTTATTTGTAGTGGTTATGGTGCAATGAGTCTATAAGTGCCACCTACCAGTTTTCTGTCAAACACCTTTGAAGTGGATTGACAATGGGTAAGATTCTCACTAACCCTGATAACCTATCCCCTTTGTAAAAGCACTAATAATGATGACGATAAGGGAAGATTTAGGGTTAAGATTTGTATGGCTTGGAGGGGATAAGCTTTAATAGAAACTGAGGGTTATAGGGAAAACGGAAATGTGGGCTTAGTGGAGCCTTAGATTTAGGGGAGAGGTAGGTAACGGAGAAACAGGTTTAAAAGACCACTAAAGTCACCCACGCCTCTCTCAATGTGCAGTAATAAGGTCAATTTAACCATTCAAAGTGACACATTGCCGTTGAAGGGTTAAACACAGCTCCAGTAGCTGTTACACTGATACCCCATGGGGTGGGTGGATATATATTTAGGAACAGGAAGACTAAAGGGTTATGTATACAGGTTTGTGATTATAATGCTTTAGTGTCCCTTTCCAATGGACTGATCATGCAATAAACCTAGTGAATTAAGGGAAGTACCCCCTTAACCCTAAACCCCCCAATTCATTGACTTGTACTTACTGCCTGGAATACAGTGCTGTACCCATCCTCATTACAGCACTGTGTATAGTAACACAGCATTATAAAGGAAACTAGAATGAAGACTGTTTGAGGCATTAACATTACAGCATAACGACAGTTGTGTTTTTTTTTTACAATTAACAAAAGTGAATCATGTGTATGAAAAATACAAGAAATAAACCACCATGTAATGTGGAAGAAATCCTCGACTAAACTGACACATGAAAAGAAGGTTTGTAAATGGTATACATTGATGGAGATATTTACCATACGTTGACAAATAACTTTATGAAACGTGGGATGAATAGCTAGCACATATACGTGGAATAAAACAGCAATTTGCTACATTGATTGCTTTTCAGACAAACATAAAAATTTAAATACTGTAAACTTACACAATTTTTATTTTTCATTTATCCTTCCATTCTTTATATACATTTTTGGGGAATTTAAAAACTTTAGACTGTATGCAGTATCCCTTATCTTCCAATATACTCTGCAAGCCTATGACTGGAAAAGTACAATGAGGATAATAAGCATTGTAGTCCAATGACATTTGTGGGAAGGTTAAAATGTGACAGAAGTTACTAGATAAAAGTGGACGGCACATACGACATAAACCGGTTCTGTAAGCGTTCCTGAATGTGAGCATGTGCAGGGAGTGATCTGATTGCTAATTTTTACGGAATGGAATTTCTAAAATTAGGTTCTGTCCCAAGCAACAGGAAGAAATCAAACAAAAGTTATTCGTATCTGAGCTGCCTCATTATTCCTCCAAGATCCACATCCTGGAAATCTTTGCCAAGAACCATAACTTTACTAGTCCTTTTTGAAGGGTCAGTCTTTACTGGGAAGAAAGTGACTTGAGGATAGCGTTTAATG